GGTAATTTTGTCTACAAAATTGTATTCTGAAATAGATTGAACATCCGAATTGAACGAAATTTTTCTCTTGCCATCCATTTATTTTGAAAAGGAATTGACAGGTTGTGATACATGTATTACCTTTTTTCTGGCGTCTCTTCCGTCGGAATGACCAAGCAATACCGAGGATTACTACAATGACGAAGAGCACTGTCAGAGATGAGATCAACATCACCCAATCAGGTCCCTCGGCCGATGGAGCAACGGTGGCTAAAAAAAAAAAGAATGACTCATTAATAGAGCTCGCTACACAAACGATGACTTGCTCTATGTGGCTGCACCAATATTTTACAACTGAATGAAAACAGATCGTTACTTTTTGTTAAATCTGTTCAATTACTTAAAATCCTTGCATCATCTAATTAACTGAACTAAATTTCATTTGATCAGTGGATGAAAATCAAGTAAAACAACGTTCCTCGCAGATGAGCTGCAATTTTACCAAGTAAAGAAAATAATTTTTCAGGCTTCTTTTCTGTAATAGCAATAGTCGCTCTGTAGAAGATGATAGCAGCTTAGTTGGCTGTAGCACACGCCGACTGACTATTTGACCGACCGACAGACAGACAGACTAACTGACTAACGGAAAGACCGTGTAACTAGATAACAGACTGGTTATTTGTTAATACGCCGAATGAACTGACCGATTGGTTGATTCAGTGTTTGATTATTTTCTGATAAGGCACTACGTGCCGTACAGTTGCAAATAAGCTGGTTGTTTTTCTATCTCTGACAAAGTCGAGTAGGTATGAGTATTTATTAATTTGTATGTTGTATATAGCTTTTGGAAAGGTTTTTAGGCAGTTGGAACATCGACACTGGGAATACAACAGAATTAGCACGATAATTATGAAGGTAAACAATAAAATCATTTTCGTATGTCTCACTTTCAGTTGATGTGGTGCTACTAAGAGTACTTGTGCTGTATTCCGAGGTACTACTTGTGTATCGAGAGTGTGTAGTACTTGAAACACAATAAACTGCTGGAGGTGACCTTCCTCCCAGTGGCTCTGTAATAATAAAAGATAGGCATTTCTTTATTTGACTAAATACATCTCAATGAAATAAAGATTGACCAACTCTGCAAGTCTAATAATTATCGAACCAATCACATAATCACACGCAGTATAGTATGATAGGACTGCTAAACGCGGTTCACTGCCATGTTACCTTTATTAGACACCCCTTAAAGAATCATTTGAACTATAATTAAAGGATTATTTAGCCAAAGTATACGAATTGAAAACTAAATTAAATTTTTTCCAACCAATACAATGGAAATTGATCATTAACTGATTTGACATACTGTATATTGCATTTCCACATAAAAAAATTAATAATTAAATTAATGAAAAAGGAAAAAAAAGTCATTAACATAAATTATTAAATATTGATTTACTTTTTCTGCTTGTGGCGTCAAACCACACTACCGAAGAAACCGTTTTTCTGAAAGCGGTCTCGACCAGACGGTGAGAGGAACAGATAACAAAGCTGCAAAGGCTCCCTCGGAAATTTAGGGGAAAAAAACTCGTAAGGGTTGGCGAAATGCCATAGAACCAGGAATGATAATTTTCTTTTAGAGCTCTTTTAACTTACCCGAGTTGAAGATAACTTCGCTGATTAATATCCATTGTCCTCTGTAGGTAAAGTTGAACCTTACAGACTTCCCTACACGGCGACACAGGTCGATTGTAACATTGCGGTTTATCGATGATGATGATGGAAAGGAAATTTCCCTGGGTTCTTGCATGAGATCAGGTGGAGAACCATTCCACATTGTTTTATCAAACCTTATTTCAACTCTGGAAAACAACTCGATGTGTGTCTGGTCTTTGACGTTACAATGGAAAGTAGCTGAAATGAAGATTCTTTTGTTCAAAAAATCAAATATTATGTAAGGTTTGGGGGTCTCTATCATGTTCCAGCCAATCCAACCCAATCCGTTATTTACTGTAAGATCTTCATTGGCCAATCGTCCATCAGTAAGCATTCCCAATCCAAAGAATAGAAAGCGGCCTTCAGTCAAACCATCATAGCTTGAATCAGTGAAGTTGTATCTCCCGTCCAGAGAGTTACCTTGGAGCATCTTGTACGTGACAATCGCTAATTAAGTAATAAATAGAAATGTCATGTTAGGCTCTCATTTAACAATGACAGTAACTATTCGGGAATGATATTTCGTGATAAATTCGTGATAATTTGTTCCTAGTGAATAACATATATGGACATATTAAGGTTCACATGGCAACCAGGTGGACAATCAGACACGGTTTGATGCTAGTTTGGTTTAAAGATTTAATGGATGTAACTGAGAAGTTACAATTCATAGACCCAACGTTTCGACACTCCTGTCTGGTGCCCTCATCACCCCTGATGAAGGCACCAGACAGGAGTGTCGAAATGTGTAGTCTATGAATTGTAACTTCTCAGTTACATTCATTACATCTTTAAACCAGAGTAGCACCAAACCATGAATAAATACAGTAAGACTGTCCACCATACCACTAAAGCAGGTACAGTGACCTGTTCTTTTTTGTTGTAGTTTTCCAAACCGACATTGGTGAGGAACTTTCAAGGAGAGTTTTTAAAAAAATTGTTTCATAACATTTTTTGTCTGATGAATCACGTTAATGCAAGAAAATTTCTATTGAATATCAGATGGCTTGCCTCAAGCAATTGATACTTGGTAGATACCTTTCCTCTATAGAAGTTATGATATCATGTAACATATGTCTCATTATTCAATTTCAAGTCTTAGAAAGCGCTGTTGGATATTCTGTAGAAACAACATTGTATAAATCATTTATATCATTTTTATTTAATGGAAGTAAAAAGCTTACCGCCTTCAATTTGACAGCCAAGAAGCTCAAACCTGAGGCACACCTGTCTGCGAGGACATATTTCAGGTATAATTCTTATTCCGTCTGCTACAAGTGGAGGTTTCAACTCCGACAGGCTATTTCCTTGAAAGAACTGAGACATATACAACAACAGTGCATGATGTTAGCAAATCCCCAACTATAAGCCATGAAACATTTTCGCTTGCTCACAAATAAATTTTTCTAAATACGTCTCGAGACCTACGAGGTCTCAGTTACACCAGGAAATATCCGGTGATATTACTCAAGTGACATTTACTATTTCTGAAACCTTACACCCGATTCGATAACAGTCGTTGTTTCATGATTTTCACGGTAGGTAGTAAAGTTGTTATGAAAGGATTCGCTCTAACGAAGGGCCAACGCTCGAAACCTCAGCCTTAAAATCTCGTTACGGACGCCAATTCACATTATCAACTCATTTGATTAAATAGAGAAGAATACATTATATTAAAGTTCACGCGGCAACCAGGTGGACAATCAGACATGGTTTGATGCTACTCTGGTTTACAGATTTAATGAATGTAACCGAAGAAGTTACAATTCATAGACCCAACGTTTCGACACTCCTGTCTTGTGCATTCATCAGGGGTGATCTAAACGCTGCAACAAGAGGTCCTTTTATAAGATCACTAATTAGCTGCCTTTTTTTTCTGACGAGGTGTAAATGTATTCGTCCGATGTATTCGTGTTGTCACAGTCATCGCAAGGAATAGAATAAATGGCGTCGATTCGAAAGGATCCTTAAGTTTGGCGAAAATATGCCCCAAAGTGTCGAAAGGTTGAGTCTCTGAATTGTAACTTCTTCGGTTATATTCATTAAATCTGTAAACTAGAGTAGCATCAAACCATGTCAGAGAATAATACATCGGCACGCGTAGATATGGTCTTTGCCCTCAAGTGTGCTGCTCGGGGGGACCTTGTTTTCGAGAGAGATTTCGACTGCATTATGTTCTGGAGATACAGGAGTATCATTTAACACTTGAAACGATTGGGTTGATATTTTGATAATACATTTCTGGCGTCTATGCTAAAGAGCTCTTTAAGTATGAAATAATATTTCAGTTAGTAAGTCCCAAACGTCAGGTAAGCGCGGGAACTTAATCCCGCCAAATTTCTGTACGAAGGTACGGCGGTATCGGCAAAAAAAGTGTTATCGTTCTTTCCTTAAGGTAAGGTCTTAACTGTGTGTTACTTCGCGAAAAAAAATTCTACTCGCTGGCCTGACCAATTTGGCGTTAAGGTAAGGTTGTGTGCCTGATGATTTCTGTCTAGAGCTATACGATGACGCACGATAAATCTCAATGCAAACCGCAATGCGGCATTTCAAGCAGCTACCGTAAACAACTAAGATGCCTGGGTGCTTAGAACACCCGCATTTTGGTGTGAATCCGTTTCACCTGGTCTTTACAAGGGTACTATGAAAAGAAGTTTTGAAGTTGAACGCGAGTTTTGAAACGGCAAAGGTTCATTACCTGTAAACAATCGAGATGCTTGGGTGCTTAAAATACCCGTATTTCGGTGTGAATCCATCCACCTGATGCTTACACAAGGGTACTCTGAAAAGAAGTTTTTAAGTTGAACGCGAGTTTTAAAATGCCAAAGGTTAAAAATACTTTTAGGCGATTCTGCGCATTCCTGATAGGTTGTATAAATAAATGCACAATTGATTGACGCCTCCGGAGAAAGACGCATCCGTGTAACTAATTCACACCTCGCTGGTTTATCATTCGGAGGTCACCTGTGTGAAGTATCTGGTTACTATGCAAATGAGCTTAAGCGGAGATAGAAGCTCGCCTAGAGTCATTTGCGTATTCCTAAATTTTCGAAAACTTAAACCGGAACTTTTCCCGTTCCATTCGATTTCAGACCGGAAATCTCGAAAATTTTGGTCGAATGGAAAGCGCCCCTAGTCGTTGTCACGCTAAAATATCGAACACATGGAAAGATCACCGACTCCGGTCCTGAAAATTAGTCGCAAAATCACCGATGAGAAAACAATTTGATACCCGTGGCAATAGCATTACTTCAGAAATCCACTCCAACTAAAGACTGAAGGAACTCCATCGATCTTAGAGGTTAATTTCCGTGCAATCTCTGAAATTTGACCGTTGCGAAAGTATCGTTCTTTAAGAGCATCGATAAATAGAAGTGTCGTTATTGATTAGCGAGCTAAGGCTGCTCGTGAAAAACATCCTTATGAAGGTCCTTAAAATGGCTTACCCTATGCTTGTGTGATCTTCCATCATACAACCAAGCATACTTTTCATTGTTTTCTTGATCTTGTCTGTACGAAACCAAGAACCTCCGAATCCCTTCCACACCTCGAGCGCGGGGCTGTGTTATTATGCCTTTAATTCGAAAGGGCCTGGGAAATTCGACTTGAATAAACTCCTTATGGATAGGACCTGTACCATTATAATACGGCTGCTGATCAGGGCACCACCCCCCATAGCCTCCTATATGATTCAGTCTACCATGAATAGCACTAGCACTTGCATTCAAAGAAGACGTAGCACGAATATCTATATCCCTGATACCTCCATCTTCCATTCCCAAAGGAGAAAAACAATCTTTAAAAAAAAGTAAAATGAAAGACAAAAGAGTTACCAAAAT